CTAAGAGATATTGGATCTGTTTAACCATCAGCGTGTTCCCATTGCCAGCATGCTGACAGTGTCATTTAGCATTTAGTTCAGTACAGAGCTGCTAGCATGGCTGCAGACTTGTTAAGCATATAAATATAACTATATGTGACATGGGGCATCCAGTGACCCAGTGATCTAAGTGCATACCCAGTTCAAATTGCATGTAATGTTGTTTCCTGTCTGTCTCTACTGTCAACAATAGAATAAAGGAAAACATGACCAAAAAAACAATACCTGAGCATAATCATTTGTTAATAAATCTGTTCAAATGAGCATAAAATAGCCATGAGCTATTTGTAGCCATATAATCTCAACCAGAGTGGATGCTGAACAGAATGAAAATAAAGAGAAACTCAGCAAGCAGGGAGCATTCCTGTAATGTATAAACGTAATAGCGCTCTCCGTACTGTTAATCACCCACCTATGTATAGTTTTTAAAAGATTGTGTCTGACCCTGCTGCGCACAAGGAGTCTGGAGAGGTTGTCCATCAATCATAAAGGCAGCATGGCTCCGTCTGCAGTGTGAGCTCCCTCAGTCTTGCCCTACTGTGGCTGACCTTCTCACACACACACACACACACACTTTCAGGAAAACGCATACAGTATACATGTTTGTATGCTTTCTCCTCACTCCTTGCTTTTTCTTTCATGATCCCAGTGTGGTCTCGCAGACTGAAATATTGATGTGAGGAGACTGTAGTTGGTAAAAAAAGAAAGTGGCATCATCATTTGGTGTGTGTGTGTGTGTGTGTGTGTGTGTGTGTGTGTGTGTGTGTGTGTGTGTGTGTGTGTGTGTGTGTGTGTGTGTGTGTGTGTGTGTGTGTGTGTGTGTGTGTGTGTGTGTGTGTGTGTGTGCAGACACTGAGCACATCAACAATGTGGGTTCATCCCCCATGCATTTGCATGTGGGTGTTTATTGTGTATCCATTAACCATTCCTTCGGATTGGAAGGTATATTTGTTGTGTTCCTTCAAACTCTTGGCACAGAATCTGCACTATTCATAGTCTTTGCTTTCATATTTTCACACTGTCTCTGTCATTTCCCGTGCTTAATAAACAAGAATCTCCTTTTGCCACTCAAATATTTGCCTCCTACATTAGCGTCTCCTTCATAATCAATTAAATAGGATTATGCCAAGAATAGCATTATAATACAGAGAGCGTTGGACACCGAAGTGCTTTTTTATGCATATTTGAAGAGCAAAATAGGATAAATTCATGTTTTCGAGCTTGAGTTAGTTTGAAATGCGTCAATTGGAAACCAGATTCTTCAGTGTTTCAGCTCCTTCACTTGCTGGCGTAATGTGCTATGATTTCCTTTTCATTCTGAAATGGCTCCGTCATCACACTCAGAAGTGATCCAACTTTGATCCGCTCCTCCAAGTCCTGAGTCTCTATAGCAAGTCAGCTTTGCAGAGTGCCCCTCCTCCCCCCTCCTCCCCCTCCACCCCACCTGCAGCGCTCATATATTTTTCAGCAGCAGAGAGCTTGGGGGAGAGCCAGGTACACTATTAGAGGGATGACTCAGAAGTGGGACTGGATGGCTTCACAGACTGGAGGTAATCCTGGCTCCTCGACCTGAAAATAGCCTGGATCGTCCTTTCCCACTTCTCTTTCCCCCGTTCTCATCTTGCAGCACTTTTCTTCGCTCCGATACCTTTCAGCACCCATTTTTTTACTTTGTACTTTCTCTTCGCTATGCTTTCCTAGAAATCATTTTCACTTTGCACCATACTTAAATTCTTCCTTGAGCCTCCAAAATGTTGTTTTATTTTCATTTCTCCATTTCATCCTCTTCCACCTCTTCCCCCATCTCCTCCTATCCTCCAAGTAAAGGGGAGATACTTTTTGGAGCAAGTGAGCCTGGACTCACATGGCATGAAGGGCGAAGACACTCAAAGGGATCGGGGGGTGGGGGAAAAGGAAGAATTGATTTTCCAGTCGGAGAGAGGCCATCCAGCGAAGGACTAAGTCTGCCCTCGGGGCTCTGACAGGCTCAGGCCAGCTCCTGATGGGAAAGGCCAGCCAGTGACCTTAAGACTCATCTGATCATGTTTTTCTATTCAGAGATGAAGTGTTCTATTGTTTTTTTATTGGAATGCCAGAATATTCATTTAGAGGCAAGCTTTGGATCGGAGCAAAAAGGTGTCAAAGACCTGTTTGGTGTACCCAGTGGAAGCTGTGTGTGTGTCTCTCTCTCTCTCTCTCTCTCTCTCTCTCTCTCTCTCTCTCTCTCTCTCTCTCTCTCTCTCTCTCTCTCTCTCTCTCCCCGGGCGGGTATATTTCTGTGAATGTGAGCCTAACCCTGTTTGCCCTTCACGAGGAGAAGCTTCCCCTCTGGCATTTCAGTGAGATGGAGAAGTAACAGGATGAGAGATGAACAGAGAAAGAGACATATCATAACACACACACACAGACACACACACACAGTACCATTGGCTGGCTGGCAGCCATGACAGATGGGGGAGTTCAGTTCACAGGGGTTGCCATGGAAACCAGCATCAGCGCTACCCTGAGCTTCTCCACTCTGCATAAGCCGAGATAGAGAGAGGCACACGCTCTGCAGAGGAGTGCAGCGTGGGCAGCAGAAGCCTTTTGCTGGTTGTTTATGACTTATTGTTGTTGCGCAACAAGTCGGTGTCATCAGGTCCTCGACTCGTTTGCCAAGTTTAGATTTGAAGGACAGAGATTGGCGGCTGTGCGTGAATCCAGCACTAATTGCATTTAATAGATTTGTTTATGAATGACACGGGCAACCATGATCGGTATCTGTGCCAATGAGAAAGTGTGTCACGACGAGCACTTGACCGGCAGGAAGAGACGACATCACCCCTCCTCTCTGAGCCACTTTACATTAAATTACGTCTTCCCATCGCTCGCTATCAGCCGGAGAACAATTACCACACAGTCATCTTCTCATTCACACTTACATTTACATCACATTACATATTCCTCTCGCAGCCTCACAATTTACGCCTTTTTTCTTCTCACTCTTTGATTCCCATCATCGATCCTGTTTAAGAGCAAACGAGGCAAAGCACCCGTTCACCCAGAAAGGGTCTAACTAGATGTGACAGGCACTAAAAGCCAGTCCGCCGCTGCTGCTCCAGCCCAACAACGCCATATGGATCATTACTTCAACAGCACTCCTGCATGATTTCTTCTGTGTACACGGAGTGTGCTGAAACATCCGTACACAGTCTCTCCTGTATAAGAGGATACAGCAGCATAATCCTCCACATACATTCCTTATTCTCTCCCACACACACTCCCGTACCCTCTGACCCTCTGTCGTACACAGCATCGTACTCTCCCACAGTGTCACAAAACCTAGAACTAAACTCTCACATTATAGTATATGTGAGTCAAGAGGTGTACCTAGAGTGTTTCTATCTGTGCCACTGAGCAGCTACAAGGCTGTAAACCAGTCAGGGTTACTGCTACAGCACCTTCCTGTGCAATGAATCTAGTCATTTTAAAGGAATAGTTCCACTTTTTGAGAAAATATGCTTACCATTGGGTTTTTTGCAGCTACAGCCAGAAGTTAGCTTAGCTTATCAGAAAGACTGGCGGAAACAGCTAGCTTCTCTGTCGAGTCAAGTCAAATTGTATTTCTGTAGCCCAATTGTACAATCCGTACAACATTCAACACCCTCTGTCCTTAGACCCTCGATTCAGGTAAGGGAAAAACTCCCCAAAAAACCCTTTTTATTTTTTTATCCCTCTCCAAGGATGGACAGACATACAATAAATGTCACATGTAGAGAATAAATTGTGGATCCCGGGGGAAGTTGAAACCCCTTCAGATGTCTCCGAGTGAGTGGATCTGTGCAGTGGATCATGTGTGTCACTGTGTGTTTTTGTAGTCCAACAACAACAACAACAACAGATCAGTGAGTCTTCCCTAGTGAAACGGGCAGCTGGTAACGTCATGTCAATTTGAGTAGTCAGAGTTAAATCATTCACTCAACTTAATAGTTAGAAGAAATGAGGTGTGTAAAAGTAAAATAAGTACACTACAGCTGTTATTTAAGTGTGTCAGATGCATATTCAGTCAACATTTAAACAACCACTGTGCACTTGGACAGGTGTTTTCACTTCTGTAGGCCTGATTAGACCTCTCCTGAGGTCTCTGTGGGCAGGTACAGGCCAGGTTTGATTGACAGCTCACTTCACTCTCCGTTACTGTCACTACACCTGTTAGGGCAGGAGAACATACCGCTTGAGTCAACAGAACACCACATGGACCAACAGCACTGTGAACAACATAGTCTAATAAACATATTTCACTTGGCTTCTCTCTGCCGGCGCTTTTGCAGCGACCTAACGAGCGGCACACGCTAAACACTGAACAAGCTGCCATTGTTGTTGCTGAGTAAGTGAAAACACCTGTGTGGGCCTTTTTATATGCTGCTCATCTCAGTTTCAAGCAAAATAAGTCATGTACAGAGTCATGAGTCTGACAGTGCGGTTACAAAGGGTATAACAGTATGTGTGTAAGAGAGTGATTGTATGTGTGAGTGAGTTTCTGCAAAAGTACTGTGTGTGTGTGTGTGTGTGTGTGAGAGAGAGAGAGTATGACTGCATATAAAATGTATACAGTAGTCATGTGTGTGTGTGTGTGGAGTATGACTCTGCATATAAAAATGTTACGTGTGGGGGGGGGGGGGGGGGGGGGGGGGGTGGTGTTTTGGTTTAATGTTTGTAAGAGTGTGCAAGTGATTTATGGGCCTCATATTTTTGCTCACACACACACACAGGTTACTAATGGATCTGCATGTTTTACTCCTTTGCATTAAGCTACGACTGAATGTAATGTGAAGTCACTGAGGCAGGCTGCCAATGCATTATGGGTACAGTAATAAGAGTCCTTCCTCTGTGTGCAACCTTACACCTGCCAGTATCCAGGAACGTCTCTCTTTCACTCTCTCATGCTTTTCTTTCTTTCTTTCTCTTTTATTTATCTGCAGTGAGAAGAGGAAGCTGCAGGTCAACATCGCGAGCCCCATCCAGTGCAGCATGAACGGGAGGAAGTGCACGGTCATCGTGGAGCCCAAGATCAACCAATCGCAGCCAGACTTCACTAAGAGCCGATCTGGCTACATCCTGGCTGTTCCTGGCAATTAAACCGGGCTAAAGCAAACAACAACAGTGACAGCTGACATCAAACCAGGCCGAGGAGATGATGATGATGATGATGATTCACTTCTGATTCACCTCTCGTGTTTATTCTTTTGCAGAGCTGCTGATAATGTGACGATTTAGATAGCAGCTCTCTAGGAGGATCGGGTTAATTGAATCCTCAGAATGAAAAGCCATGCCAAATTTGACCTGTTTTGTAGATTTACATGCAACGCTACTATAAACAGGAAGTGTACAATACGCCTACACGCAACATGTTATTAGCGGAACAGGTTTTTAAAAAAATGCACTACAGGATAATCCACCAAAGGGGTGTTCTCTTTTTTTTTTTTTTAAATCCAAATTTCAAATGATTAGCTTTGTGCAATATTTAGTTTTATTGTAGATGGAATATTGTGGTAGTCAAGGTGAGAGGAGACTATGCGAACTGTTCTCTGAACCACTGATGTTGCATAATTGAGGGGATAAAAATCCCTGCAGCTCCCTGCGCAGGAGCCAGATCAAAAGTGAAACCCTGAAAAATGAAGTACGGTGATATTTATGTATGACTCTGATTTTGACTTTATCTGCTCTAAAATAGAAGATGATTTATATCCTAAGGAATAATACTGTTAATGACCTTAATCGAAAGAATGAACGGAAACACAGCGTCCACTTTTAGTGCAGTTAATGTCTACAATCACATATGGGAACAGCGAGTGCGAGAATGTGATTCAGCGGTTCTGTCGGCGTCTGAGGCACAAATTCCAAATTCATTGTCAGTTTGTTCGTCACAGGATGTGTTGAGCATATCCTGAACATCACAACCTGTTAAAATCTATTAATTTAAATCCTGCTTCTTATACTCTCTACTGCAATGTTTGTACTTTTATAATATTCCAATATTGCTTGTATATTAAAGGTTAGAATATACTTTATTCAGATATGCGTATGCACAGAACTTATACTGCGTTTAGTATAAAAAAAGGGATGCTATAACTAAAACTGACTAACAGGAGGCAAATATGAAGACTATAATCAAAGCATTACTTTCTTCCCAGATGTATTCTGAGTTCATATTCTCTTAAATTGTAAGACTTAATGCTCTATTTTAGCAGCAGAGGCCAGTACTGTATAATCCCACGTGAACTCCAGCCCCAGAACATAGTCTCATTTGCTGTCTTTGTGCTGAGTGAATAGCCTAATGACTTGTAGTGGCCCATAGTCCTTTAGAATAGACTTCCATTTGACAAATATCCCCTTGATCCGAGAGAAAGACAGTGTGGGAGCGTGTGTACTGTATGTGTGTTGATTAGCTCTTTCAGGTCTCCTCCTCTTGGCTCTGAGACTGAGAGTCTGGCTAGTGGCCACAGTGAAGGAGTGAAGACAGACTGTAATCAGACTGCTGGCCTACTTTACCTCCCCATCTACCGATGGGAGGGACTTTTTGTATGAACAGTGGACTTTTCGGTGAATTGATGTTCATCCGATGCTGCTGCTAATCTCCCTTCGCTTTTTCCTCATCACACAAATCAAATCATCGGCAGCCGAACACTCAGAGTTTGGTTTGTTCTGTTCTCACAAGCTGTCGGCTGTGTTGAGTGAGTGTGTTCACTCTGTGTTTTCAGCCGTTGGTAAGTGTTAGTACATTACAATATGTTCTTTTTCAGTGCGTTGCGAAAATTGTGGCAGCACAGAAGCTCACAAGATGGAGGTGTCTGGTTTTATGTTTAATATTAATATTCATTCAGGATTTGCAGTTTGTAAACAGTGAACGTTTGCACATCAGAGTTCACCAAAGTCGAACTCAACTCGCCCCCACGAGCTGATTTCGATTTTATCATCAAGCCAGGTTTAGTAGTTGAAAAAAAGTTTGAACGTCTACACTTCAATGACAAATAACTTGATGTGCTGATGAAGATCATGTGATGTGATTGAAACGCTCTAGAACAGCTTCTAAATGGACCTGGTGGTGAGATTGGTTCATCAACTGCTGTTTACCAGCTCAAGAATAAACTCTGAAGCTCAGCTTTAAAAGCCAAAGTGGAGAAGAAGTCCTTAGTGCTCAGAAAAAAATGTTTTACTGTTCAAATGTCCATGCATAGGACATCCTCATTGTTGAATTTGAAAGGAACGGATATAAAGATGGATGTTCACTAAATGCTAAAATGTCAGTTATCATACATCTGACAAGAATTGAGCTATTCCAACCCTAACCCATTTTAAGGTTGTCATGGTGCCGTGACAGTAAATGTCACAAATTCTTTGGACGAGAGGAATCATCCCTGTACCCACAGAGGCTTAGAGCTGGATTGTCTCTGTGTAAAGGCTAAGTAAAGAATACCGACTGTGGGCTGAAGAACGACAGCCCAAGGTTATGAATCGGAGCTCCCTCGGTGTCTGGCCTAGTTGAAGAGGCAGAGGCACTCCTCTCCACTTCACTCCAGCATGGAGGAAAACCTGCTAGCAGTCATATTAGCCTCAGTAGCACGGCCCTTTAATTGTGTTGTCTGAACACAAGTCGTTTATCTTAATTAGTTTGGGAGCGCCCCTGTCATTTGAAGAAGCGCGTTTCCTTTCTACCTCGCGGCTCTGCGGCGGCTGACCTCGTCCTGCTGCTTGATAACGCACTTTGATGCAGAAAGGAGTTGTTTGGGGAAACTCGCATTCTTAGTTTGGATTAAGGAAGTGACACTGGTAGCTTTAATAGGCAGATTTCAAAGGAGCTCAGGAGCTGCCTGTGATGAGTTTAGTGTGTGTGTGTGTGTGTGTGTGTGCGTGTGCGTGTGTGTGTGTGGACTATAACACTGCAGCTCTCCATATCCTTCAGCATGGTAATCTCCCACAGGGCCTCTGCTCCGCTCTGCTCTGCTCTGCTCTGCTATTCACCGCTCATCATTAGGATGGACTCCGTGTCACTTCTCACTTCAGCGCTTCTCTCTCGGCTTTCTTAAGGCAAAAGAGGGGGTTGCTGAACAAAGCCTCGCTTGGCCTCATCTTCTTCTCTACTCCCTCTGCTTTCTTCTTCCACCCTCCCTCCTTTTCCACTTTTCCTTCCTCTGTCAAATCACCTCGCTCCTCGCCCACTTGGGCCGACTGTACCGTCCTGCAGGGCAGTGAAGGTTTTCCTATTTTTCTGTTGTTTTTTTTTGTTTTTTTCCTTCAGCCGTCCTGTGCCTGGGAGGCATGGAAATAAAAAAAAGGGAAAATACACCAGCAACTAGACGCGCCGAACAGTAGAGTATCATGCAGTAACAAAAACTTTAAAAAAGGAGACAGAGCTGAGTCTGTTAACCTGAAATGTAAATACTGTGGATCCAAACGATACTCATTAGTAGGATCATTGTTGGTTTTGGTCTTTTCATAGTATTTGTTGACAGTAACAAAGCTATGGAATATCACCAGATTTATCCTTTAATGATTAGTCTTTGGTGTGCAGACCCAATCAGTCTAGATTACTTTTCCATTCCGCTGATTATCAGCTTTGCCTCAAGTGTAAAAAAAATAACAGACATTTTCTAATTACCCCTTTCTAAATGGGCATAAAGGAATGTCAGATATGAATGTTAACACTACGAGACTTGTGCCATTGTGTTCTTCCCTCTACTGCTCTCTTCAGTGGGATCTTAGTTTTCAGTGTTTTTGTTCCAGAATCATTTTGACTCTTATTACCGAGCCCGTCCACGTTAGCCAAAGGGTAACAAATTCCATCTCCATAATTTATTCCATATTCTGTTGCTTTAAGCAAATGTATACACCATTCATCCAGTATGTGCCTAATTTTATATCAAGTCTATACTTTGCATATTTGTGATTACAGACCATAAATATACTGTAATATCCTGAGTTAAGGGAACGTCCCTGTTGTGATACTATGTTTGTGCAAATGTATTCTGTATAAATGCAGACTAGGCATTCCACCATGTTCCATAATGAAAAATATATGTCATTAATCACTTTATTAATAAATTTATTTGCTTCAGGAGCCGCTGCTTTTAGTCATTATCTGAGCTTGTTTACGTGTGTGTGTGTGTGTGTGTGTGTGTGTGTGTGTGTGTGTGTGTGTGTGTGTGTGTGTGTGTGTGTGTGTGTGTGTGTGTGTGTGTCTCATTAGTGTTGATATCATGCAAAGACTGATGTTATGTAGACTAATGTTTCCCGAGGCCAGCCGTAGTCTGTGATGTGGTAATAGCTGGGTAGAGCCCAGCGTTAATCCACCCACTAACAGCTGTTTCACCCGGTGACGTCGAGACGGCTGAAACCCCTGCAGTCGGCATGACAACGCCGCTTCCCACTGCCAATGTGTCAGCCATCACCAGCTACCTCAGCAGGGGTTTCTAATCCACTCGCTGATGGATGACTATCTGCAGCAAAGAGTGGGATGACTTTTTCTTTCCCAAGGGCAGCGACTGAGTAAGACCGGGCTGCTGACCAGGTGGTTAAATAAATTGGAATTAATGGACGGAGAGTGAAATGTGATGAGTGACCTGACCCAAACTAATCTGTGTATGTGGGGGGGCTCGCAGTATATTTGGAGATGCAGCACTGATTCCCCACTATGTGTAGCCCAGGAGATACGACTACTGCAGCTGCCAGAGGGTTTATTATCCACATATATCTGTGTTTAAGAGGAACGTAAACACATATAGGAATACAGATTTAACACATTTATGCTCATAATAACCTAAGAGCTATGATAAGGCCAACTACACAGGATAAGCCTCCCACTGACCTGAGTCATCTGGGAGCAGTGAACACCACGTGCTGTGATTTAGAAAGCAGAGAAGTCTAAAAAGATAGATATTCTTTTTAATAGCAGAAATAGAGACTTAATGGAATGGATGAATGGGTTTTTTTCCGCCTTCAGCTTCGACCACGCTCAAGAGTTGGAACGAATGGAAACAAATCTACTGGAAGAAAATAGGGCTGTGGGGGCTCTTCAGACTAAAAGGGTCGGGAACCACTGAAACACAGTTCAGAGTCACAGATCAACAACTCTAGGAACATTTAAGATGGTGGTCCTACTCTGTCTACTCTGTACATTGAATATCTATCCCTCCTCTGTTGACGCTGCAATTTTCTTTCCCCGTTAAGGCTTTTTCTGGGGGCTTTTTCCGTATCCAATTTGAGGCTCTAATGATACAGGGTGTCATGTACTGTACAGTGATTTTGTGTGTGATTTTTCTGGTCTCAGCACTGTGCCATCAAAAGCACTGTATAAGGCACCAGAGCAGCTGGCTTCAATCAGAGAGGAAACACTAACTACTGAAACACTGTTGAGACTTTTTTACATCCAGTGCAGCTTAGATTTTTCCCACAGACACACAGTTTAGGACCAATTTTGGGTTCAGTGTTGTTGCTCAATGACACCTCGATATGTGGGGGGATCGAACCGCCATCTGTTCAATTAATAGCCTACATTTAGAATTACAACCGCCCCATACGTGAAGTACCATTAAATTCAAATTCATTGATTCAATCCCCAGACTTGTACACACACTGCCAGTAAATCTGGGTGGGGAAAGAGCAACACTTGCCCCTCCCTAATTACTGTTACCAAGGTTCTCTTTGAGCAAGGACCTTAACCCACAGATCAGACTGTGGTTGTGTGCAGCTTCCAGGTGTGAATCTGGATGGATGTTCCTGTTCCTGTGTTGTTTTTTTTTGCAGTTTTAGGCTGAACGAGTGAACTTCAGTCCACAGATGGAGGCACAAAAGACAAGTGGCCGCCTTGAACGATCAGTGCATTTTATTTTTCCATCACAGTACAAAAATAAATTAAAATAAGCAGAAACTAACTGAAAAAGGTTTCAATTACAGCAACAGCTTTTTTGTCTTTTTCAAAAAAGAACATTTTTATTGGAACAGCATCAACACCCCCCTCCCTCACCCCCCTGCCAAGTCCTGGTACCGGCGTGGTTGGTGTATGCTCCGTGTCCATAAGAAAACAACATGTCACACATTCTTCTGTACAAATAAAACGCTGTCATTCGCACACACACACGCACACACATCCGCGCACACATGCAGCCATCAAATGCCCGTCTCTCTCTCTCTTTTCCAAGTTCCTAACCACTGTTTCGTTTTTTTTATTATCTACAAAGTACGCAACAAGATACAGAAAAGAATTTGACAGAAATCTTTAACTATCACTTGAGTCTTTTTTCATATTTTATAAGCTTTTGAAAGTATTTTCTCAAACAACTACTCAATGATGCAAAGTGGAGAAAAAAATGGCACATTTCAAGTGAGTCGGGGCAAGTGGACAGAGAGAAAAAAAGATTCAGGCTCTCCTTTTTTTTTGAGGGCCTTCACCCCGATGCCCTGCTTTATTCTGCCAGAGTCCCCCTATTGTGCCAGTACAAACACTCCAAATGAACTTTCTCTCACTGATCTAACTCCATATGGCTGCCACAATCCCACAGCAGAGGAGGTCACAGGTCGTGACCGTCAGAGCTGCTCATTTTCTCTGATTCACACTAACAAGGCAGCGGAGAAGCCTTCCATCCTCTGGGAACAACTTTAAAACATGACAGAAGCCTTTAGTTGGCACAACCAGCCCATTATGCTTTTCTGAACACTGCTAAAGAAAGAGAGTATGCACGATTCGTCTATATTGAGATGAGATGTGGAAACCAGTAAAAACATTTCTCATACAATTCTGGATGGAAATACTGTAGCTTCTCCAGTGATTGCAGTCATTACACAGACGGCAGATAGCTGCAGTGAAGTAGCTTCAACTATTCTCCCGTGAAACAGAAATTGTTCTGCATGCTTTCTGTTTTTGGTTGTCATGTCGCTGCCATCGCACTCTGCAGCGTGTCGTTTCAGTCAAGTGGTCTCTATGATTGAAAATGTGATTATTCCCCCATGGAGGTCACCTCATATTCCTGCAGCCCCTAGATGGATGTGAGGTCGCCTCACATTTGATTTACACAGAGGTGATGCTGATGGATTATCCTCAAGGTAAGCTGTGCTTTTCTGCAGCGATGCCGAACGACCGAGCGTCATTGAAGTGATCTATTCCCCTGGAGAAACGTGTGTGCTTTCTCTTTCTGATATGTGGGTTGGGTTAGCTCCTCACTCAGGCCAGAGGTGCAGGACAAAAATATGTTTTTTTGGGGGGGCATTTTCTTAAGTATAAGGTCAGTGATGTGTTGTTCGGGGAAGGTGTCCTTGATGATATCACTTTGGTGATGGTCAGATTTGACATTGGTTTTGACCTCAGGGCTTTTTAATTAGACACTGATCAATAAATTCCTTCAACGCTTGTTTGTATAAACCAGATCAATCTTCATTCCCACCAAAGATAAGCACACCTGCTCTACCAGCAAAACCCCTCTCCATGCCCTTCCCTTTTCAAAGTCTCTCATCTAATCTTTCATTTACATTAAATGTGCCTAAATAAATACATAAATGGCAATAAATTAGGTGTCAGTAAGTAGTTATTAGGAGATGAAAATCCACCCCATCATTCAACAGCTGGACAAACAGTACAGTATTTCCGACCTGTGGGATTTTCATGAAAGATATGGCACTGTTTTAACATTTTCTATGCTGAATAATAAGCACAAAATTAAACATCATTCCAAAGTGGTTGCAACACAACCTATCGACAAAAGTACAAAAAGAATTTCCCTGGTAAACAAATAGCCTATTTTAGCAAGCATAGCTAAAAAAACTAGTGTCACTTTGTTCACAGCATTCTCTAATGCAGATGCAGTTGGTTTACAAATCAAGTAAAAAGAAGAAACTATGCTCCTGCCCTCCTGGAAACTGTAAAATTGCATGGCACACGTGCAAAACATTACATTTCTAAGTAAAAAAAGAAAGAAATCAAAGAAAACTTGTTCCAGAAAAGCAATAAATAAGCCTCCATAGGTGTAAGCCTCTGGGGAGTAAAACATCCATTAACTTGTTCTTTTATTTTTTTCTAGATGAAAATAAAGTAGGTGTTTCTGAACACACACACCGTATGACCACTCATCGCTGGCCACACGTCCCCAGGCTGTTGTCTTCTTATCAAAAGTCCCACAATGCAGTGTTTGCTTATTGTCCATCCAGTCTTACCATGTACAGTATAAGTCCTGCTGTAGAGCCACAAACAGAAACCCACAAAAAAGTATGGATCCAGCACTGAAAGCCCCTGCGGTTCCCTCAGATATGCATCGCAGCAAAAAGAAAAAGTCCTGTCGTATCCGTATTAATGGAGGGGACGTGGTGTTGGCATTCCAAAGAGCCAGGGTTTGCAGCCGGGGGATGCCTGTTCATCCGTGATGCATGAAGAAAGCCAGTCAGGCGATGGCCCTCACCCTCCTGCAGTAGGCAGTGCACATCACATCGTCAAACAGTCAGCAGGTCACTGGTAGGCTGCTGCAGCCTCAGTCCTGTCCACATTCATTGCTGTAGATGTATGCTTCCTTTTCTAATGTTTTTTTGTTTTTTTCGTGTGTGTGTGTGTGTCTTTTTGTCTGAATTGTTTTTTTTATATAGATATATATATCTGTACGTTAGCAAAGGATTTACCCAAGTCTGGCATTTTTTTTGTTTTTGTTTATATATCATTGTCAAAAAAGCTTTCATTCTCAAGTTTACAGGAAATCCGCCCTTTGCTCGTTTGAAAATAGAATCTGGCCTCGATGATTACATGTATTCAAGAAGAGGCAGATTAGTGCTCTTGCTTTTTAAACACTGTGCCCCATTTTTAGGTGACTGTTGCAACTGTTATCTGTCAGATGCAATAACTGAGCCCCGCTGCCGAGCTGTAGATTCTCTTACCAGATACAAAGGTGTTGTAAATGTCAAATACTTCCTAATTAGCCTCCTCCCACCGCAGTTTGGACAATAATAAATAAACTGCATCACAAATAATCTTCCAAACTTGTCAAAATGCCAGACTGGAGTACCCCCCTCCTCCTCTGACCCCTCTCCTCCCCCCCAGCATCCCCTCACCGGTCCAGGCCGATGAGCAGGCGGCTCCTCTCCTCCTCCTTCTGGCTCTCATTCTTCAGGTCGGCGAACACCTGAGTGAAGTAGTGTGGGTCGGAGTTGATCTGGAGCATCTTCGCGCTCATCAGGTTGATGATGGACAGGCAGCGGTCCCAGAAGGTCTCCTTGGAGCTCTCCACCAAGAAGGGCTTGAGAGGGTAGGAGATCTCGTTGCCCATGTAGGAGTATGACAGGTACAGGCAGGTAAGCAGCACGGCCTGCAGCTCGTGCTCTGTGGCCACCTCGGAGGAGACCACGTCACGGCACAGCATGTAGACAAAGACCACGTTTGCAGGGGTGATGAAGCCCTGGTCCTGCCAGCCTTGGAGCAGCAGGGAGCGGTCCACGCTGCGCAGCCACAGCACTGGGTCAGTGGGTGACAGGTGTTTCAGCCGGTAGCAACGCCGGCACAGAAACTCCCCGAGGCAGCGCAGCAGCTCACTGGTGGAGGCCTGGACAATCACTCTCTTAGGGGTCCCGGGGGCCACGTTGGAGTTGGCCAGAGGGGCCTTCTTGACGGACGATACTGTTGTGTTGGAGCTCTTGGTGAGAGCCGGAGTGCTCTGATCCTGGGTGAAGGAGGACAGGTTGGCGCATGACTGCGACTTCTTCAGGTTTTCATTGTTCAGGTGGGTGACATTGTTCTGGTAGTTGCCGTTGGGCTGCACCTTCTTGGAGCCTTTCTTCTTGGCTGACACTGCTACAATCCGCTTCCACGGGAGCACATTGATGAGCGAGTGGCGCTTCAGGTTCTTGTCTTTGGCGTTCTTGCTGTTCTGGACAGCTGTGTAGTGGCCCACAGTGGCCGGTCCATCCTCGAAGAGAGCCGCCTTTCGGTAGCTAGGTGACAAAGACAGCACGGTTCCCATGGTGACTGCGGGGAGGCGTCCAGGGGCTGTAGCCGCACTGGGTCAGAAGAGCGTCTGCCAGGGGAGATCCTGGGGGTCTCAAAGCCTCAATGCTTCGGGGAGCTGGGAGTCCCGGGCTACAGGCTGCCGCTGGGCATCTAAAGCCTAGGAGGAAATAGTCCCGTGGGCAGCTCTCTGAGGGGATAACGATCACCTCGACTGAAACAGTCTCTGTTGTATTTCAGCTCTCTGTCTGCGTCTCCGGATTGCCACTGCTGCAAGCACAAAAGATCAATAATCAGAAAAATAATTGTTGAAGGATCAATTACCTTAAATTATCCACTGATTTTCACAAAAAGCAAACCAAATGTGTTTGATCTCACATTAGATCTATAATTATTCAGCTTGCATCAGATAATGTCATGGGTATCTGAAATGTCCTCATGAATGTGAGGCTGAGTGGTTTATCTGACAGTACCTCAGGCTTATTAGCAGCATTGATTTGACTCAGTAAGTGGTGGAATGGATCAGCCTATGCTTATACTAATTAATTCAATCAGCAGGCTATAGATCCCTCCTTGCTGCAAATGATCAATGCAATAAGGCAGCACATCATCCTAACGTTATCAGCATTTCAGTGTGAAATTGTGCGAATGGTTATATTCATCTGCAGTAAATTATAGAGCAGATATATAAGAATATGAGAGATTTGGCATCAGCTATTAAAATGCATTCTACTCCATATGATTGAAATGCATCCTGTATGGTAAATTCATAAACATTTAATGACGAGAGATCCATATTTTATGGGCAATGGCCGACGAGTGAACCACGCGCCACCCCCTCTCACTAAAATGGAAGACAGAAACGTAAACACCTTAATAACAGGTGAAGGTCGCGGTTGATGCATATAGGATTCAGCACATGGAAGCACAAATCCAAGGTCATAGAATCTGCCGCCGTTAAAACGAGATAAACAAAGAGATATGAGATTCTTTCTGTGCTCGACGCGGTTTAATCCCCCACTGCAGTACTCTACCTATGCATACGAAACACATCCGATGGATCGACTTCGCTCACTTTGCGCAGAATCCGAGCTGCTCGATGCCTCATTCCATCACCCTGTTATCAATCTGATTCGGGTCAGTTGTGGAGAAATTCCCAAACAGCCGCTTTTAAAGGGACTTGGCTGGGCTGGGGATGAGAGGATGCGCCGGGCTGCTGGCGGGGATGCGGAGCTGTGTACATCGGGTGCTCTCCGTGGTGCTGAAGCTGAGCGTCTGCGTCGAAGTGAAAATGCTGGCTGTAATAGGCGGTGGCTTAAAAATGAAGAAAATCTTCATCTTTCCACCCCGCTATCCGTTGCTATCTCACAATATGTCTGTGGATGTGGCTGCCTATAACTCCACAACCCCATTTCTGCCCATTTATGGCCATATTTTCTTAATGCGCATCACCTGTTTTCACATATGATGGATCCATAAATCTGTACAGTCTGAAAGGCTACACGAATATGTTCCAAAAATCAACGCAAACTTACCAGATCTCCTGCTCACCGAGAATAGGATTGCGCTGTAACGATGTTGCTCCTCGTCCCAAGTCTGTTTTTTTTTCCTCACAAAACGAGATTAAAAACATAAAACCATCTCGGAGAATATAAATTGCAACAAAGAAAATAATCCGAGCCGATGCGAAAAACAAAATAGCAAGCGTTGGATGAAGGCGCCTGGTGTCCGGCGGTGCGCAGACGGTGGTGGGCAGTTGTGGAATGGATGCTTAGATGAAGATGTGCTCCTGGTCCTCCTGGCCGTGAGATGCGGATGCTGCGAGGGGCTGATGTTGTGTTGTGTCACTGGCTGTGTGAGGATGGTTGACGCAAAGGCGGTGGTGGGGCGCCGCTCTGCGCTCTGTGCGCGCTGCTGTCTCTCTGCCGGGAAACAACTCCGCCTATAGCCACACACAGCAGAGAGCTCATGCAAACTGAACCCAGTGAACTCCCAGTATGTTTTTCTTCATAACACCATTAGCACCAACGTAATGCCATCCTATTGCAGCATGCATGTATGAGCACCTGCGCATGAGGTGAGTTGGTGGGCAGGTTCTAGGTCATTCTTAAGGTAAGCCTTCATGAGTATAGGGCCTTTGTATTTGGCTGCATTATCATATTTTAATCTCCGCATATGCTTTTAAAGTAATCTCTACTGGTCCATAACATGCCTATAGTCTTCTAGTGGGGGCTTTCATTATTATGTATGATCAGACCAATGTATCATTTTGTCATTTGGGCAGATATTGCTGTTTTATTCAGTGTTGGATATCAGCCAGTCATCTATTACCAATGTGATGGAGAGTCCCTTTAGACCACGGAGCTATACAAACACAATAAATCTATTTTTTGACAATATTTTTTTCCCCATTTAATTGTTTAAGTATTATTTTGTACATTTTTTTATTAAAAAAGTCGATCAGACTCTTGCACAAAAAATGGTGCGAAAAAAATAACTATTAATATTATATATGATCATATTATTCATACATACTGGGTTCTCTTTAATTAGAATAAATCTAATATAATACAGATTAAAATGTATTTACAATCCTTAAAATGAAAGACCACTGATACATATGATCAAATAATTAAACGCGAAGGGAAAAAGGACTTTACGACCCTTTTCTTTGATATGACTACATTTCCCATGTTTCCAAAAAAAAAAAAAAAAAAAAAAAATCCCAACATGCAAAGTCACACGCTGACGTCACCTACGCTAGGTAACGTAGTCCGCGCACGTAACTTTCATTCAAGCAGCATTTTGAATAAGGAAGATGGCGGCTGCAGCAGTGGTTGAGTTCCAGAGAGCCCAGTCTCTCATTAGCACGGACCGCAACGCCTCTATCGACATCCTGCATTCAATAGGTAGGTGTTCCGCGGAGGGTTTTTTGTTGTTGTTGTTGTGGATGGACGCCGTTGCTCTGACTATTTCTTTTAGGTTAGCGGGGGGGGGAGTTAGCATGCGAGCTAGTGGCAAGAGCCGGCGGTGTGCCGTGCTGACTCACTGTTGAACGGCTAGTGGACGTTAGCTCGTTAGCCGCTCTGCTAACTGCGGGCCTGGGCGTGAAAAATGTGCAGTAGTTCCCAGCTGATGTTGTGTTTTTTTTTTTAAAAACTGTGTGTGTTTGTGTTGTGGTGTCGTTGAGCACAGTCCCCCCTCCCCCCAGCTATAAGCAACGTTAGCTCTGATTGAGACTGTCAGTGTTTGTTTGTGGGGTTGCTGTTGTGGCTAACGTCATTAGCTTGTTGTCAAAAGCCTTTTAACTCACGTCGTTCAGCTTTCTGACAACAAGAGGGGATACAACTGTTTTTAATGAGACATTTGTGAGTGATTGGCCCTCGGTTTGTTTTTGTGTTAGTGGTTGCGTTAACACGAAAAGCTAATTTTACATTGAATTACCATATTGTGTAAACAGTTCTTGTGTTTCACTGGACTCAAATTGCCATGTCACTACAGCTCTCTAACTTGGTTGTCAAAAGCGAAACGTCTCAGTAGTGGGATTAATTAATTGATTTTAAGCATTTTGACATTTATCAAGCTATCAAAAAGCTCAACAGCCTCTGATTTCACCTTAATTATGACGTTTTGTTGCTTTTCTCTAATTGTAAATGAGATATATTTTGGTTTTGGACTGTTGCTCAGACATAGGAACATTGTGATCTGTGTTTTCACAATATCTGGCTAAACAGTTTGTACATAAAACTAATTGGTAGTTGTATCCTTTGTTGTCAGATTGGTGTGCGGGCTGAGATAATGTTACCATGAAACAGGACTGTCAGCTTCCAAAGTCCATCAAAAGTGCCTCAACTGGGGTTTAATTAAATAACCTGGTTTCTGATGTAAAGCTGTTGCCTTTGTTTGACAGTGAGGAGAGATGTTCAGGAGAACGATGAGGAAGCTGTCCGGGTTAAAGAACAGAGCATCCTGGAGCTGGGGACACTCCTGGCCAAGACCGGACAGGCTGCAGGTAAACAAGTCAAACTTTAATGTTCATTCTGTACCTGTTTTTTTTTTTTTTTTTTTTTTCAACTAAGCCTACAAATAATCTAATGGAACTAATTCTATGTCATGTTTCCATTTTTTCTTTTTCTGTCTCCAGAACTAGGGGGTCTGCTGAAATTTGTGAGGCCTTTCCTGATTTCCATCAGCAAGGCCAAGGCGGCCCGGCTGGTCCGCTCCCTGCTGGACCTCTTTCTTGACATGGAGGCAGCAACGGGACAGGAGGTTGAGCTGTGTCTCGAATGCATTGAGTGGGCCAAGGCCGAGAAGAGAACCTTCTTACGACAGGCTCTGGAGGTAAGGAGATCTAGAATAAGCTTGTGGGTGCTATCGAACGGCATAAATGTAACTTAATCCTCACCGTATGTACCGTTATGTAAGTGTTGTCTGAGAAAAACATTGCAATATCAGCATACTTTACTGCTAGAATCCGGCAATTTTTTCCTACTGGCTCGCTTATGCGTAACGTAGAGGAGAGATGCAGTATGTAACAGGATATCACTGAGATACAGCATCTTCAAATGGAACATAAACCCCTGTGATATCTTTTGGAGCGCCACAGTAGAGAGCTGCAGATGAGGAGTTTGATACTTAGTTTGATGACTTTGTGAAGGCAAATGTTATCAGCTTTTCCAACAACTTATAGTGCACCAATTATGCTGTTAGAGGATCATTATTTGCATTGTGGGTGACACCCTGACTGCTGATGAGGATATAAAGTTGCTTATTTTGTTTTTTTTTTTTGAATAGGCCATGCCATAGATGTACCCTATCACCAACAGCTGATGTATTCATCCTCTTCCCCAACCCTAGTTAGCACTGACATGCAATACCGTTTATGATTAATGATACTGAAAACAAACGTGATATCACCAAACACAATCAGCTGCTGTGGGAGGGATGGAAATTTAACATGTTGTGACTCATGGAGTGGGAGACGCTTTGATTTCAGACAGATTAATGCTGCTGAATTTTGCTGGTGGATATGCAGCAAACGCCAGTGTGGCATTACTTTGGGATGAAATCAAGTGAAAACAGGAAACTTGACAAATGTGTTGAAAACAAAAATGCAAACACTGCCTGAAGAAAGTGACAACGAGAGATGCTAATATATCTACTACACGCTGCCATCCACGATGACATCACCCTGCTATAGCAGCCAAAATGGACTTCTTGGCCAAGTGACTGCCAGCAGGTTCACACTCACAGCCAGGAATATCTGGAGCTTTTGGCTGAATTACAAAGTACAGGATCAACAACATTTTGCATCCGTACTGTTTATTATGTGGCATGTATGCAGAGGGACGTTTTTCAGACGTGTCCCGATTTGCCTCAGGCCACAAATTCTGAATAATGTGATTGGGGACACGCTAAAATGTGTCTATTCCTTCAGATGTCCCCATTTTATCAGATCGTAAGGAATCTTAACAGTTTCAGGTAGAGAGCTATGTGTACCAAAATGATTAAATCTTTTCGTGTGTGAAGAGCACGACTGGAACAAAACACCACCTCCAGGCACCAGGATTTTTGTTTGTATCTACCTGCCAAGACTTTGCAGATGGAAATTAGTTGGGAGCTGAATCTGGTACATATTTTCTCTTTGTATGAGATTCATGTTTTGTTTTTTTTGTACACGATCCCTGGCAGTTAAATGTAATAAACTAAAGTTTTTGTGAACCTTACAATCTTGATTTCTATCAAATGTTTTTATGTGTGGGTATAAATAGGAGAACAATTTGTGGCCCACAGGGCTGTACTTTTTAGAGCTGAAAAATATTCTGCAAAGATCTATAATGGGAATTGGGAAATGTGTCTTTTGTTTTTTGTTACAACTGAAGTTTTTTTATGTCTTGTATACGTGTTGCAGCTTTTCTACAAGGCGATATATTGGCTTCTCTCTGCATGTCTAATAGGACACTCTCTCTTCCTTCAGGCACGACTGATCTCACTCTATTTTGACACCAAACGATACCAGGAGGCCTTGGCGCTCGGTGAGTGTTTAGAGACGGGACATTTTTATCTTTTGGTTAATGGCAACGTCTGTCTTCAGAGACCTTACATTTGCTATTGTCCCTGACATCCTAATCAACCACACATACAGCACAAGATGTATGCTAGTCCACCATGAAACACCAAAACTGTCAAAAGACATCTTTTATTGTTGCAACCTTATTTCCACCTATAAAAAGTTGCTTTTTATTTTATTTGTGGCCCTTGTTAGCAAATATGTGCCCAACTGACTAAGGAAGCAAGGTAAAAACAAAGGTTTTGTAAAGCAGTTAGACATGCTTTACTTGCAAAGGAAGGAGAAAGAGCAGCATATAACAGGACTGTAATTGTACATTTACCCTCTAGCTGTTTACTACAGGAAGCGCTGTACTTTACAAAGTTATTGCAACAGTTAAATTTGCATGACATTAACTCTTACTCATTCATTCCCCTTCCCCTCAGGCTCCCAGTTGCTCCAGGAGCTGAAAAAGATGGATGACAAAGCTCTCCTGGTAGAGGTTCAGCTGCTTGAAAGTAAGACGTATCACGCTCTCAGCAACCTGCCCAAGGCCCGCGCAGCCCTCACTTCAGCCAGGACCACCGCCAACGCCATTTACTGCCCTCCAAAGCTCCAGGCAGCTCTGGACATGCAGTCAGGTCAGATGTGTTCACTATTCCCACTTTCAAAGCTTAGCCTAGCTTTGCACTGATTTTATACTGTTTGACAGCTTTACCATCTGCTACCTTAGTACCCAACTACAAGATGCATTTGGTAATAGCATTTTAAAAGACCCTTTTTTATGCTGACTTGTCATAGCGGGGGAAGTACAGATGTAGGGACCATTAAGTGTCTCAGTCAGTCTCAGTCCCAGTTGTTACTGATTTTATTAATTACACCTGTGCTTGTACCGCTAGGTCGTGTCAACTGTAAAAAAACAACAAAAAAAACTTTATTGGGTTTGTTGTACAGTTAGACTAAGTGGGGCATTCCCAGTTTATAGGCCAGGGAAGAAGCCTTGCATAGCCAAACTACACCACATCACAAGCTCAGTTTGGGAGTCTTAAACATTTATTAAGGTGTGCATTCAGCTAGTCAGATGCATACTTAAGACTTAACTCTGATACAAACAATTAATGAAACAGACATATAACAGCCCGAAGAGTGGTGTGTTCATCCACTCAGGTGTAGCAAGGAATCAGTTTGATGTCTGAGTTAATTAGAGAACTGTTTATCTGTTGTGAAGCCTACTTGAAATTACAGTATGTCCGCCTCAAGAGAGTTAATCCATAGCTTTGCTGGACCACAAATGAGTAAAGCCAAAAATGTGGGACATAGCAGTAAGCAGATTATTCTGATTGCTTCTTAGAAAGAGGAGAATAATCTCTACCACATTTTCTCTTTTTGATTCTACCACTGGGGGGCGCCAGGCAAGACTGAAATATGTGTGCAGAATTCAAACTACTAACTACAGACAAACTACAGTGTCTCATTAGATGATGGTACCACACACTAGATAATGCTTTAAGAAAGTGTGACAGTGTTGCCTTATAAATTAGTGGAATGTTTGATTAATCTCATTGTCGTGACGATCATTGATTTCATGGTTGTATTGGTGACAATTTTGTGGTCATTGTGTGATACATTGCTGCATCATCATATAGTCCTTTACACAAAGGATTAAAAATGGATTAATAAATTATTATAAATATTAATGATAATAAAAAGCTGTACCAACCCTGTTGAAATGACTTAAACTGTACATGAAGCAACTTTTCTCAGAAGCTTGAAAAGGGTGTATTTGGTGACTCTGCTCATTATATACTGATAACCATCTCAAAGTCACCGTTTGTGTTTACCAGTGTGAAGGCAGAAGCAGGGAGGTATGACACTTTCCATGACTTTACAACAGTGTGGACTAGAAAAAAACTTCTGTAACTACCAACATTATGATTAAGTAGTCCGCGTTAGGCAACACCCAGTGAAACTCAACCCAACTTTCACAAGCATTTCACATTTCCCAGTGACTGGGCGGAGTTTGTTTTGGCCATAAATAGTAATCACGTTGCGTCCTCTCTGTTGCAGGGATCATCCACGCAGCCGAGGAGAAGGACTGGAAGACGGCCTACTCCTACTTCTTTGAGGCCTTTGAGGGCTACGACTCCATCGACAGCCCCCGAGCCATCACAGCACTCAAATACATGCTTCTGTGCAAAATCGTTCTCAACTTGTGAGTAGAGCTTAAAACTCAATGTACAATGTTTTACTGATTGAACTTACTCACATCCATATGGTGCTATGTTCTGGCATCTATATGTGATTATTCATTCCTCTGTTATTAACTTTTAGACCAGAGGAGGTCCAAGCCCTGATCAGTGGTAAACTGGGTCTGCGACATGCCGGCCGACAGGCAAGTACCAGTTCTTTTCTACTCATAGCAGAGTAGGCAAAGCAAATTAGTAACGCTAATTTTCACTTCTTGTCAACACTGAAAATGTTCTGTTTCTTTGTTGGATTTTGTAATGTAGCTCACAATATTTCAGTTTTTTTTTCTGTCTTGATCATTCTTAAAGTAAATGACCTTTCACTGTACTGAGTAGGCACCTCAGTTTTGTTCAGGTAAACAATTTTGTTATGCTTGTTTCTGTAGAATTACATTTCGATTTTCTCCTTTGTCTTTATCCATCTAGACAGACGCACTGAAATGTGTCGCCCAGGCCAGCAAGAACAGATCATTAGCAGACTTTGAAAAGGTAAGAATCCTTTAGTCCTGTCAAATCTGTCTCAGACAAACTTCCATTTAGCCTTTTTGGTCTTCTTTTCTCTTTTGCTACAGCTCCTTTTACCTATTGAGTGATCTGTGCAGCACTCAGGAATCTACTTTTTTAAACCTGCTGATGATATAAAGTGTTGCTCAATATATAATGCATTTAAATGAAGTCTTTGTTGTATACTTCCACACTCATCATCATTTTAATTTAAAATTGTGCGTCCTGCAGGCCCTAACAGAGTACAGAGCAGAGCTGAGGGATGACCCCATCATCAATACTCACCTGGCCACGCTGTATGACAACCTGCTGGAACAAAACCTCATCCGAGTCATTGAACCTTTTTCCAGAGTACAGGTAAGGACACGCTAAGCCTTTTTTTTTCTGTTACTGTAGCTTTGTACAATGAAGACTTGCTACATTTATTGCCAGGTCCTAAATCTTTACATTTTCTTGTACGTCAGCATTGTCTTGTTCTCTTATAACTTTGTACAAAGACTGTCTTACGCTCTGTTCAGACACTTTCCTAAGAGTTGTCTCTTACCTCCTGGTAAATGCCCAGCGATAATCTTTGTATTTTCCTGATTCTTTCTCTAGTGCTTATACTTGGACATTCCTTCCGTAATCTAGGCTGACATGACAGTGCGACTGTACTGGTCCTCAACATTTAAACAAAGAAAATAATGCTTCTTAAGTCCTGTATTTCATTTTCTTCTCTTTCTGTTTTCAGATAGAACACATATCAGTTCTAATCAAACTGTCAAAGGTATGTTTCTTTGCAGTTAATCATTCTTTTGTGAGCATTAAAATCATCATTTATATCTCTAAAAATGTGGGCTTTATTATTCATTTCTTTGTCTTTTATAGGGTGATGTTGAAAGGAAATTATCACAGATGATTCTGGACAAAAAGTTTCACGGTAATTAGATTAATCTGTTCCTATAAACACAGTTGTCAGACATTTCACCCTTCACAGGCAGAGTGAGATACCTCAGTGTACTGAAATATATATTTTTCTGACACTGCTGCAGGAATCCTTGACCAAGGCGAAGGCGTCTTGATCATATTTGATGAGCCCCCAGTGGACAAAACCTACGAAGCAGCCTTGGAAACAATTCAGAACATGAGCAAAGTTGTGGATTCACTTTACAACAAAGCCAAGAAGCTGACATAGGTAAATACATATTTCAGTAAGAGAAGAAGCATGGCTTTGGTGCTCTTTCTTTCGCTCTCTAATAAATGTTTTCTCTTCCACCTCCAGAGCAGATTGCCACGGCAGTGCGATGGAGGAACTGTGTGTGTTTGACCAGCGTGTGTAACATTTTAAGAAGGGGACAAGGGAGAGCAACGAAAAAGTCCCACAAACTGCAACAAACAGGATTCCCCCATCAAACTCCCCCCTCCTCTCCCTCAACGGACAATTTCATCACTTCTCTTGTTTTTTTGGTTTTTTTTCCTCTTTAATTTTGATATCTCTTCAGGATTCTGTGTAACACTCAGCGGCCAAATCAGGCCATCAGGGAATATTGTACAACCACAATAAAAAGATTAAAAGGTTTAAAAATACATATATGTTTATATCTGCTATAAGGCTGGGCTTACCAAGCCTTAAGCTGACTCCACTGCAACCTCAAAGGTGCAACATTGACCTCTGCAGCCTCTGACTCTGCTACTAACTGCGTATGCAGAAATGAGGCTTTCTCCTTTCTTCTTGTCCATATCTTTCAGAAGCACACTGTTCAGTTTTTGGAAGGTTGGGATACTCCTTGGGATTCTGAATTTTGGTCAAAGAGCTCCCTCTAGTTTTTTTTGTTGTTTTTTTTCCTCACCATATCAATGCCAACAGTTAAGTACCCACTGTATTTCAGATATGTATTAAACTCACTTTATTTGTTTTTGGTTTTGTGTTTTTGTTTAAAAAAAGAAAAGAAAAAAGAAAATCAGAAGGTTGCCACATGTCTGCCCGCCCTGCTAATGTAAGTTTATAGAACAGACAGGATGCCATTTCACCACCAGTGCCACTTTTTCGGCGCTTTCTGTTTGCCTCAGTGTTTGGGTGCAATATGAAATCGGAGGGCAGAGGTGGAGATGTATTCATCGCCTCTGTGAGTTATCCCTAAGTGAGCAATTCTCCATTGTTAGTTCCTAGCACTAGTGTGGTATGCTAGTAACCAAACAATTTGTATGGTTTTGATTTGGTTTTGATTTTTTTTGTTTTGTTTTTCTCTTATAAAGACATTTTCAAAATAAATATTTTGTATTTTAAGGATTTTGTCTTGTCTCTTGCAAAAACAGAATGCAAATGGTGATTTGGTGTGGTAACTTTGATTGGCCGCTCGGTTATAATATTTGTTTTTAAAGTTTAAAGGTGAGAAGAAGACTGCAAAGTGTCTTTGAATTGCACTTAAGAATGGGAGCAAGTGATTCAGAAAATGTACACAGTAGTTAAGTAAAGTATGTCTGTTAAAGAACAAGTCAAAGGTATCTAAGCAGTCAGAAACAATTCTTAAAATGACTCCAGGGGAGTACAGATGTTGATACTAAAATACAGAATCTCTTCCTGCTGCTATATTTGTCACACCTCACATCAAAGGGCATTAAATCAGTTCAATGGACAGCTTTGGATTGTCTTTTATTTTGTTTTTTTTTTTTACACAAACTGCCATGTTTACTCCAACCCACGTTGTCAAACCTGGGTAAACCTGTAACACGTTTTCTGGCCAAATTCATCACAAGAAATTGTAACTAAAGTGGCATCAAAAGGCTTCGTTCTACAACCTTTTCCTCTTTTTTAAGGATAGATTTAACTTTTCTGAATACCACAGTATTCAAACAAGTGCCACAAATGTTTCCTCTCCAGACTAAGAAGCACAATCTTGTCATTTTAACTGTAGTTGTCAAGCCCATGCAGAAGAATGCTACTTTCAAGCCTTAAATATTTCATTTTAGACTTGATGTCCTTCAGTATTTGTTTGCAAAGGCACAGCCTTTCACTGTGACCCTTTTAACATCCAGAATAAAGATTTTACTTCGCCTCTCTAATTCTAATTCAAAACACATTTTTTCTATTCTAATGTTACATTTTACAGATGTCTCGGCCCTCCACAGGCTTCATTCTTTAAGAACCAACAAAGTGAAGTATTTACTAGTTTCCGATACAGATCAATATCACATATACAAGTGGTTCTTAATTTCAGACATTTTTAAACGATGATGTTCAGATGAGTTCAAATGAATCATTTTTATCCATTGTATTCATTCTGGGTTTGTCAGACGAACAAAACACAGACACAGAAAAGATTTTAAAAGTTATTTATGACTTAAATATTTCTAAAAATAATAATTGAGATTATTAATGTGAATATGTTTAATATTTTTAATGTTAATATTTTAGTCTCCTCTCTTTATTTTTATGCATGAAACATGGAACATCGGTGACAGAACCAGGACATGCATTGCATCATTGTTATATTTTCCTTAATAAACTACTTAATATTATTAAATAAATACTGAACATACCAATATATTTTTAAAAGACAAAAAACAGGCAAAAAGCATTGTAATCTCACTAAAATATCTTGGATTTGTTATACTTTTATTATTTTAAGAGAATCAATGTTATTTCCAAATGAATAAATAATACCAATAATTAATAATTAAAACAAAAATGTAATACTTTGTCTTATGGATGTGAAATATATAAACAAATATCCTAAAATAAATGCTTTGTTTTATGTTCATTTTTAAAGTAAAAAAAAAAAAAAAAAAATAAATCTTTATTTGCAAACATAAACAATGCATGAGCAGAGAATGCCAGACAGAAATCATAAATTAGATAAATAAATTATACAGGGTAAATACACGTAAACTCTTATTTTTACAGTATGGGAGTAGTTTAATGTATTGTTTGGCTTCACCTACAACATTTTTTGATTTATGTATGAGAAATTTTGCAAGCAGAAGGATCAAATTGAGGATATTATACTGATTTCTTTTGGTTCAGGGGTAAGAAAAAAAAGCCAAACAATACATTCACATACAAAAGGATGAAATCAGAAACAATAAACTGGGAATTAAATACACAAATATCTTTCCAAAAAGAACAAGACAAACAAACAAATGACATAAATCTTCTGGAGCACGTTACATCAATGTCCTTCCAATAATTTCAATGGATAAAAGCAATAAATAATTTTTTTTACAAGACACTTCTTTGGCCTTATTTAAAATAAAATATTTTACATGGTGCACTTCCTCCTCTCACTTTTTATTTATTTATTTTTTTTTTTAAACAGCTTTATTTATCACTTATTTCCAAAATATACATAGTAGCAGTGCAGTAATGATAGAAACAACAGGGTAAACATTATAATAGCAATAATTGAAAAACAAATAAATGATACAGAAAATAAATACATAAATAAAAAGAAATAAAAACATGCCAGGGATCACCAGCAAAGAAAAATTTAATTGAATTAAAGATATCAAAGTGGGAGCACAGTCTCACAGTTTTGAAAGCTTTCTTGACTTGAAATACAACTCCAGTTCTTTCATAAAAACACAAAAAAGAGGTTTCACTTTGGCAAATTTACATTTGTGGATGTAAAACTTTGCAAGAATTATAATGAGATTAATTAAACAAAATTATTGACTCTCTCTAAAAAACCAAAAAGCACATTCTGCAAGAGGAGCTTAAAGTCACAGAAATTATCATCTAAAATAAATAAATAAATATCTTACTTTACGACGTGTGTGCGTGATGACGTCACGGCGCGTCAGGACAATCCCGCCCCCCTCTCAGCACGTCACTTTCTCTCAGTAGTGCCGTTGCTCTGTCAGCGGAACGCTCCTGGTGAACTGCACTTGAACACGGGAGGAAACAAAAAAACACATAAAGATGACCTCTCGGGTGAGTTTATTTGAAGCGAATATTCAAGAATTTAAAACACAAGTACGCCACGAACGGGGAAAAAAAACCCAAAAAACCCACTGAACACTAAAGCTTAACTTAAAGGGCTGGGGGCCATTGTACACGTAAAGTGAGCCAGCGCGGCACTAGCCTGTGTGGCGGAGTCAGATGTCATTCACAACTTCGTAAGCAGCCCGGAAGAGGAATGGGGTATCTCATGACCAGTCCAACTGCTGCTGGCTTGTTAGTCCAACTGTTGGACTTTCTGTAAAGTAAAATGTGCAACAGCTTGAGCTGCTCAGTTGTAATGTCGATGGTGTTATTGACATGGATATGTGCTAAAATGCTAAAGCAGTGAAGGCTCTTCAAGGTGGAATGAAGGAAGTGTGGCAGACTGAGGAAGAGCCCGATGAACTGGACTGATGTGTAATGTTCAGTCTTTATGGATCTGAGGCCATTTTCCACACAGCTTGTTTATGTGCGTCAGTGTGTTCAACTGAGGAGGCCTTTGCAGCTGTTTCATGATGGGCACTTGTCAGTTTATTGCCTCTGTGTAGATAGTTAAAAGTGAAAGTGTGGTCAGTCTTTCCCTGCAGTGAATGCTTCCTTCATGCAGGTCATTATGGCTGCAGTTCACTTCATTTCATTATTCATTCATTTGCTGTTTGTCAGTCTGAAATCCCCCCCAGAATAATCACTTTCATATCACAGAAGGCTCAGAAATACAGTAAAAGTAAATTCTTGCAAATCTTACTTAAAAAAAAAGGACTGAAAGGATTAATTGATGATTAAAACAGTCACTTATTGATGAGAAGTGGAGGAGGGATTGTGCACTCAGATGATGATGATGATGATGGTAAGTGGACGTTTAAGGTTAAAAATGACCTGTCATGCACTGCAGTGTTTAGCAATGACAGCAGTCTAAATATGTTTAACTCAATGCAGTCAACAACGCCATAAACGTCTCTAAGACAGCAATAACCGTCCATTGAAAGCATTATTGCACGGCTGTTGTATTACGCTTCTACCTAGGTGTACCTAGTAAATAGTTAGGTTTCATCGAACTCTCTGTAATGAATTCTGAAGCAACACTATAATGAGAGAGTCACCCTGATCGTATGGTCTTTAAGATACTGGGACATTTCTGTCGCTCATTAACACTTCACATTTGAGCTGATTACATGGGAACAATGTAAGGAATGCCCTCTGCACAGTGTATAGGACAGACTTTAGAGTTTCTATGCTATAAGACTTTGGCTAATAGAGGCACAATTCATGGGTCATATTTTCAAGTGACAAAGTTAATGTTTATTTTATTGTCATTCAGCAAATTGACTGCAGTTTAATCTTCATTTGGTGCAACTCTAGATTTCTGTATTTTGCTGTCAGGTTGTGTTGTCAACCCACATTCCTTCAGCAGGCGGTGTTATCTGTACCGTCCTAAAAATGATCGCTTGAGAGATGTGACCTTGGCACGTCAACAGTCTGTTCAATGTGAAGCTGTGAGATTATCAGGATGTCTAAGGGGCCGTGGTTAGCCTGGATGCTGAAGTTTAATGGTTTTGAGATGTAGGTCGGATATTAATTAGGTTATTGGAATGAGAGCAGTCTTTTTCTTAGAAGGGGCTAATAAGACTGGGCTGTATTATAACTTGAAATGACTGGTTGACAGTATCCAAGAAAATACTCCTGTTGAATTGAGTTCTGTGACGCTACGTAGCTCACTCCTACACACTGGTCCTTTTTAATTCCCGATATATTTGGTAAGCGTACTTGAGCGCATTTACCCATCAACTTAAATCTATTGCTAATTGTAACTGGAGAGCAGGTTGACACTGAATACGTATGGATATTTGGGTGTTACAAATACTGCATCTACATAGAGTTGGTACTTTTAATTGGTCTGCATTGTAATTGTTGAAGCCACATTAAAATGAGGCTATGCTTAACTTAACCTTTAGTTGATATTTCATCACAGCGGATCATGTTGATGCTGAATCACCCAGCTGGTTACTGTAGACTTGAGTAAGTCAGTGTGAGGCAATGTCCTTCACTCCCGGTGTTTCGGAGAAGATGCATTTCAGTTAAGAGCAGTGGTAGACGAGCTGCGGCTGTAATGACGTTTGAGCTTTAAACGTCCAGTCTCCTGCTTTAATCTCCTCTTAAGGAGCTCTGAGGTTGTTAAAACCACCTTTTTTCCGCTCTGTTTGACAGTGGCATATATATTCTGTGCATGAATCTTTTATGGCTGCACCATTCCCTCAAATGGAAGCATTGTGCTTTATTTTACACACGGTATCCCAAAATTCAGCCAAAAGCATTTGGTATCTTTGGAAACTTTAGGTGCTGCACCAGAATTTAAAATAAGGTTCTTCTGAGTTTTTAGAAAGGATTTTGTAATGACTGACTGACTTAAAAAAGGTCACAAAATAGGAGGATCTTGCTGAACCTGAGCCGAAGATCCTGAGACATTAGTGGGCATAAACATAGAAAAATAATTTCCCTTAAGTTAGTGAAGCTAAGCAGAGCTACCTCCTGCATGTGCAGCACATAATGACACCATGCTTAATGTCTCAGATCCTGTTGATCTGCACAATATGAACAACCGGTGTAATCCTTAATGAGTATCCTAATGAGTGTTTGAGAGACTTGACATTTAGTATTCGAGGCCTAGCAGGAAGCTTCATGGTGGAACATGTTGTACAG